CTCGGGACAAGGTGAGACAGCATTATGCTTGTTGAACTCGTATGAATTATATTTCCAACAGCAAATTGATTGCAACGTTACAGCATCAATTTGTGAGGGATTTGTGACAATTTCATATTGTCAACACTTTGTTAGTAACGAGATACAATTAAAAAACTTATAGCTTGATGACATATACACAATAACGGATGGAAATCATTATATATGTGTTGTTGCCGTCATGTTTGCATCATGATGCTCAAGATGGAACGATAAATCATTCATTGCTGTCATGTTGCTGACATGTTGCAGCAACATAACGTACCAATATTGCGGACCGTTTGCTCTTGAAATTGCGTCAACTGATTGCATGTATAAGCAGTCATGTAGCTGTATTTGTAACGTCTTCTATTTATATGTCAGCAAATTTACAGCAAATGTATGAAAACACATGCAATGCATTAGTTTGCTCAATGTGCTCCATCACGCTTGGCTATCTGGGTAGTTTCTGCCAAGTTTTCACAATGTCAAAATACAGCAATCGAAAGTATGATATACAAGAGATGGAATTTTTCATGTACACAATTGGCATTGGTGGTCATCCGTGAATCTCCACGTGAATCTCCACGTAGGAACACACAACAAAAACAAAGGAATCACCTTGTTCTCGCTTGTACAACAATTTCCTGTATATACAACGATTAAATCCATCTTGCATAGAAATTAATTTCAACAAACTATGTAGACTCACTATATATATTAAAATGAAATATTTTTCCTATAGGGTAAAATATATATTATCAGAGTAACGTAATTTTTTTCTTAATAATCTTAAGAATAATGGTGAGCGATAGTTGAAAGTTGTGCTATGAAACTCAATAAAATAACAAATATCAAGGTCAACTTTCAGTTACCTCACGTGGGCCAAAGTGACCCAAGGCGTGTTTAAAACTCGCGCCCTTTTTGAACGCGCAGTGTTGAAAACTCCAGACCAGAGGGAGGGGGAGGGGAGTTTGAAGGTTCTAGCACTAGCCTGGCCACTTGCGAGACTCGATGTCAGTTCGGTCGAAGCAGCCGCGGCAGAAAATGACAAGTGGGACGGTGGGGTTACTTGGACCCAGGTGAGGTAATATTGTAACAAAAACGATTTTTGTCAAAATACAATAAAAAATACAATAAATAAGTAAATCTTATAAAAAACAGTGTATTCATGCAATATAATGATACAAAAAATATTCCGTGTTGTATAAAAAGTCAAGTATTGGATTTTATCGGTTTACAAAATCAATCAATACCTAATAGCTTAGCGTCAAGATGTTGATTTTACGGCAGCTGCGACATTCTTAGGTAAACTTAATAAATATTTACAAAACTTTTTTAACCGAAACTGTTTCATTTTTTCATTATAAAGATTATTATTAATCAAAATCTATTTTCCTCTCCTCAAACTCACTCATATATTAAGAGCACCAATAGAACCCCATAAAATCCAATTTTCAATCCCATAGTAGCCATCTCCATAAAAATAGTAATTTTTTGGTACCAATTTCATTAAAATCATCAACAAAAAATTGGAAAAATCTTGGCACCGGTTTCAAGAAAATCGATCCATTAATAAAAAATTAAACTAATCCTCCACAAATTTAAAAAATTTTGGCACTGGTTTCAAAAAAATCGGTCACGTAATACTTGATATTTCTCAAAATTTTAATACGTTCCAAACCGGTTTCTAAAAATTGGTAACAAAAAATTATCCATAAAAAAATTCAGCTTGATATCTCAAAGTTTGCGGAAATTGGAGCAATCAGGTATATATTTTTTTAACAGAAATCGTAAACCATTTTACTATTAGCAATCCTTACAAAAAAGTATTACTAACTGGTTAGTAATAAATACTTATTTTGTGTATTAATAATACTAAAATTAAGTATTTATTAGTACTTGAATCACTGTGATTCAAGTATTGCACAGTATTTTATTACTGGTCAGTAATTTATGAAAGTAGTATTTAATACAGGACGAGTATTGAATACTTAGTATTAAATTTCTGATGAGAAAGCATTTAATACTAAGTGAAAATTACTTGTGTAATAAATACTTGTGTTGAATTACTGATGAGTATTTTAATGTTAGTACTAAAGTACTGGGCTGAGGATTCCATGTGTAATAAATCACTGTCCAGTATTTTCATGTTAATACTGAAATACTGAACTGAATATTCCATGTGAAATTAATCACTGACCAGTACTACAATTTGTATAGAAACATTATAATGGGTAATTCCTGATAATATTAAGGAAGAGAGATAAAAGTAAGGCACAAATACATTTTATATGAAGGTCTGTACTAATTCGTCGTGATAAAAGTGTACAAGTTTTGAAATAGTACTGCGGATATCATTCTTATATCCAATTCAAAATTTTATTACTCTTTTTAAACTGAATTTGTTTCTTAAGATGATTTTTCAAAAATTATATATTTGCGCTGGTTATGACACATGTAGACTATATATAACGCACTTACATCAAATTAAGAAGTAGTCTACCACGTAAGGCAGTTGGCTCACGATCCAGAGGTCCCGAGTTCGAATCCCACTAAGGTAAGTGTGTTTTTCAAATACGAGAAAATATTTATAATTATAGACTGCATCTTAAGAGACAAATTTAGTTATAAAATAGTAATTAAATTTCGAAAAAAATAATTTTTTTTTATACCGGGTAAATATCAGAAATCGAAGTATCGGTGAGTAATTCAATACTAAGCACCAGTAGTTCTGTGTAGTATTAATCACTACCTATAATATTTATCACTACCAGTATTTTCCCAGTATTTCCCAAATAAATATTGACAGTATTAAATCACTGAGATTTTAAGTATTTAGTCAGTAATACTTTTCTGTAAGAATTTTTCCAATTCTATTAGATTCTTTAGTTGTTTCTACCCCCATCTATATATACAAGTACCTGATGTCTGTATGTCTGTCTGACGCAAACTACTTGTTATTTTTCAAGAAATTGGAAAAATTTCGTAACCGATTTCCAAAAACCGGTCTTGTTCGCTCGCGACAGTCACGAATTGAAGTAACTGGTTAATTCCCCAAAAATTTAAAAAATTTCTGATATCGGCTTCTAAAAAGATTAGTGACAAAAAATTATACACTTTATAGCACTCCCCGGAAAATTCTACCCCTGTTTCATATTCAACTCTTTGAAATTTGGTCAATTATTTCCCGAAAAATTAGAAAAACCGGTTTCCAGAAAATCGGTAACAAATCCTACACACAACAGATTTCATTTAAAACTAATCGACCTATAAACGATTTAATTCCCGAAAATTATAAGAAAAAAAAATTATTCTTTTTTGGCCTTTGCAGCTTCCTCCATTTCATAATTTAATGCTGCTCTTAGCAATAGATTATCCTGACCGTCTCCTAATGTACATTTTTTTTTAAATCACGTAGATTTTTTTAAACAAAAATCCGAAACGTTTCGAGAAATGCAGTACATTAATGAAAAATTAAACTCGCGGTTTCAAAAAATTCAGCATATACAATTCTTTGAGATTCGGTCAATTATTTCCAGGAAAATTGGAAAAATTTTGGAACCGGTTTTCAAAAAGATCGGTAACGAAAAATTATATACACTTTGGCAATTCCCGGGAAATATATATTCTCTACCCCTACTTTATATACAATTCTTTACGATTCGGTCAATTAATTCCCAAAGTTGGAAAAAAATTTCGTAACCGGTTTCCAAAAAAATCGGTAACAAAAAATTGTACACTTTATGGCACTCTCTGGGACATGTATATATTCTACCCTTACTTTGTATACAATTTTTTGAGATTTGGTCAATTAATTCTCGTAAACTTTGAAAAAATTTTGGAACCGGTTTTTAAAAAGATTGGTAACAAAAAAAAAGCAGCGACATTTTCATCCCCGGAAAATTCTACCCCTGTTTCATATACGTTTGGTAAAAATTTGGTTCACTAACGATCGAGTAGTTTGCCTACAGACTACAGACAGACAGACAGACGTCCGGTACTAATATATATAGATTGTTATTACACAGAAATGGAGACAAGGTCTCGCACTCGGTCAACGGCCAAAATGGTACAATCCCATGTGTAACAAACATGTCGCAAAAATATGCAGCACTTGCGCGTCGCAATAATTAAATTTTTTTTCATGTGTCTATTTTTAATAAATTAAGTATTTTTCAGGCATTTTTATTGCATTTATTCAACATTTTTACCGATATTATACAAAAAAACATGAATTTTTACCTCTTTATAGACGCTATTTTGTATTAGCCATATGAAACTTTGAAAAATATTTTGTTATTCTTCTACATGTTTATATTTCATGTCCAAGGTCGCAAGTTTTACGATTTAAAAAAAAATCCGTTTTTTAGAGACAATAATATTTGATCGATTTTCTTCAAAATCATGAAATTTCACTCTGCAAAAAAATATACTTTTTGGAACCAATCGTTATGACACTAATTTCTTCTTAAAGTGCAACTCTTGACCTTTCGAATTATGTATTATAAAACCCTTGTATCTTTTTTTAGTCAGTACTACGTCAATTTGAAAGAAAAGCAAATTTTTTCGCTTTTTCAAAAAAACACGTTTTCTTTTTTTTTAATCAACATTTACATTTTTTAATTTGGAATAATCTAACAGTTGTGTATCTACAGTTGTGTAGATCTTTAAAAAATATATCGATTAAAAAAAAGACGTCAAATTGATGCATTTGTCGTAAAGATACAAGCTGGAGAAGATGCCAGGGTCTCTCAGACCCCCACGTCAGGTAATATCAGAGTGTAAAAATATGAGGTAACTGAGAGTTGAGATCATATAAAGAAGAGTACATTAAAGTACGTGTATATGCGTGTGCGCACACATTTTAAGTTTATATGCGTAAAGTGCGGGTGTGCGTACGTGTGTACCTATGTGTGTGTATGCGTTCGTCAATTCATGTTCTTGAACTAAACAAGATCTGTTAACGTGATTATTTGCAGCACGCCAATGATGGATCTTCTGGTGCAGATCGCGACAGCTCACAAATTGACGGCTTCAAACTACAACTTGCAAGCGATCGGCGAACGTGATTTGATTCTACCTCATCATCCAAACACTCCTATAGGAGCATTGGACGCTCTTCAAGTAATTTTAACTTTCTGTTTTATATAATAATATATATTCTTTCTTAATATATTCTTCCTTAAATTACATGTTCTTTATGCACACAGTGGTTTACAGACATGTAAATAGTGGTTTTCTTGCATCAAACTAATTTTTATTTTCATTAAATGTCACATCTTATTGTTGGTTTTATTTGAGAAATATATGAATTTATGTAATCAAATTATTGCATCAAGATTAAAGAAAGAAAAATAAAAAAAATTGTGTGCGTGACCTCCACGCGGCATAGGTGAAACTTTCTAGCTGTGAGGAATAAGATGTAGATTTTTTAAATGAATTATTCTTGTCGGAAGGAAAAGCACAAGTATAAAGTAATATAAAGTCAAATTTAGAAAAGTTTTTTTTTGTGACGCTCGGATCTGATGGTCAGCTGTAACACTTCTACGCCAAATCGCGCCCACAAAAGTTTCATTTCAATAAAAGTACATCTCTAAAGTAATTTTGTTTCTAGTATTTTATCTGTAAATAATGCAGCTACACAGGAATTTATTAATTTTTTAATTGATTCAACATTTTAATCAATAATATGTATAAAATTTTGGTTTCATGGTGTTATGGATTCGCACAAGTTGAACAAGTACATATATCGTGTGTCGATTTTTCGTCTGACAAAGCGATAGTACTGTTAATGATCCCAACAATTTCCCTGCGTGTGTCACATGAATTTCTACGCGAAAACGCGCTTTCTAATAACGATTCTTTGACGCTCACTCTCTACGTCGCAATTGAATAAATTACAACAAATTCTTTATTATAGATAGCCACTGTTAATTTCAAGTATGTCTATTATGCAACATATAAATTTTTTATTTCTCATGGAAGAAAATTAATTGATATTAAATACCGCATATATTTTATATCGCGGAACGATAACTAATTTACCGAGGTTTTTTCAACTAATGCATCAATAAAATTTGTGAAGCAATTGAAGTCGTTTCTGTTTTGTGTGTGTCTCAGGTTAAATTACTTCCCAAGCAGGGCACGTGCGTGGCGCTTAAATCTAAGCAGGTTAATCAACCTTTTGAAACGACATTTAGATTGCAGGTAAGGAAAAAAATACCAAGTTTTTTACAGTTAATATTAATCGCAATTAAAATACGTCGCTTACACGGTTATTTTAGTTTATTATTTTATCTTTATTATTTCAAAGATGTTAAAAATTTCGAAAACAAAAATTTTCTTTTTCTCAAACTTGAGATATAAAGAGATGTGATTTTTCGTTTAAATCTTGTTATATGATTAATATTTTTTTACACTCTTTAAATTTAAAAAAATGAAAAAATAGCATAAACATTCTTAATATCTAGAATTAAATAGTTGTAGACATTGAGAATGTTTATGCTATTTTCATTTTATTTATTATTGAATTATTAATAGTTTAAATAAATAATCAAGTTGTTGTGTTAATAATATGTTTTTTATGTTTCGATTTCCGAAATAAATCAAAAATTGTGTAACTATTTCTTGAAATAACTATCTCTCAAAAAATAAAACTTTTGTCTAATTTTTACAATTGTAAAACTTTATAAATTTTATAAATTATAAACTCAATTTTTATAATTCTTTTTACAATCTAAATGATATACTTTACATCTATTAGTGAATAAGGAATATTATACATTTATGACATTCTTATCATTTCAAAGCAAATATTTTTCACTAAATTTGAAGATGCAAAAAAATTTTGGAAAATTTTATTACATTTTTTTTTTACTTGGAATTTTATAATTTAATCTTAAAAGTAAAGGTTTTTTACAAAAAATGCAACATATACGTAAGTATAGCAAGTAAAAGCAATTTTCTCACACGTATTTTCTCGACAAATGCAAAAAGTAAATGTTATCTGGTTCCTGCGGAAATCGTATTTAGAATCAGTTGCAAACTTGTAATATATTCATAGTGCGGATGCATTAAATCGGTAATGTGATACGCGACAACTTGATTATCGGTGCAGGTACATTTGCCGAGAAATCAGCTGTACGTATCGAGGGTCAGTCCGAAGACAAACCTTGGAGAAATCCTGGACAAAGTGTGCCGCGAGAAAAATCTAGATAGGAGCAAGTACGAGCTTCGTCATCCAGGTAAATATTTACTAAATAAAACTGCGCTTGCAATGCAATAATTAAATATTTAATGGAAATACTTTCAAACTGTAATGTATTTGCAAACTGTGTTATTTAATAACAAGATAATTTAATTAATTCAATTATTTATTTATTTATTTATTTAATAGAAAAGTTTAGATTTTGATACTGTTTCTTTATATATTACATACATTTTTATATATTACATAATAAGGTAAAAGTTTATCTTTACGCAACCACCGTCAATGACCTTGACATATGTTCTCAATCCTGCTGAGTGACCTTCAAAAGATTTTACTCGTTGTTTATCAAGTTATTAACAAAAAATTTTATGAAATATGAATTTTATAATATAGTTTCTGTCAGTGCTAAAAAAAGTAATTTGCTGATATATGTGTATAGACAGTACACACATTAATCAAGAGACACGGTAGTGTCTCGCGCCAAGTACACGCGGAGCGAGACCGACCGTGACTCTTTTACGCGACGCGATGGGTTGCGAGTACCCGAGATGTTGAGATCTTGATAATGAGATCACGATAACGAGTGAACGGATCAAGTTCCAAGTAGGCTTGATCGATAGCTTGGGGTCCAATTAGGGGGGGGGGGGGGTCTCCCATAATATTCCGCTACGTGCCCTACGAGCGGAGATGTTGCGACGCAAAGTCCAAATGTGAAAATTTATTTTAAGATACTCCTCCTCCTCCCCCTCCTCCTCCTCCTCCTCCTAACGCCGACGTCTCAATATTATTATGATTATCAGAGAAACGTCCCTTTCACTTTTTCGACGCTGGCGGCGCAGGTATCGCTAGTTTCGATATCGCGCACGTATTTCGAAATTAGGTCGATAGATTTATCGGTCAGGAGAAAGATTTCTATTTAGGTAAATTAGGTATAATATAATATATATTGAGTCAATTGCTTCATGTTTATCTGGAGAGATTTCGTATCCTTACATCGTACCACCACCGCTGCCGGAAAAGAAGGTTCTCTATGCTTGGCAAAAAGTGCCGCTAGGGAATTTTTAAGTCAGTTCTTATGAATCAAGCTTGAATTCGATGTTTAGGTATCCCAGGTTGCCGATGACGAGGTCCACATAGTGCGCTCCGTAGTTTTCGGTGTCTACGTGTATTAATACCTTGAATTCAATGTCTACATGTCCCAGGTTGCGGATGACGGGATCCAGATAGTACGCTTCATAGTTTTCGGTGTAATCGTACGTTGAATTAAATGTCTAGGTGTCCCAGGTTGCCGATGACGAGGTCCACATAGTGCGCTCCGTAGTTTTCGGTGTCCAGGTGTAATAATACATTGAATGCGATATCTAGGTGTCCCAGGTTGCCGATGACGAGGTCCACATAGTGCGCTTTGTAGTTTTTGGTGTCTAGGTGTATTAATAACTTTAAATCTGAATGTAGGACACGTAGATATCGAATTCGAGGTATTAATACACGTAGACACGTGGACACTGAAAACTATGGAGCGCACTATGTGGACCTCGTCATCGGCAACCTGGGACACCTAGACATCGAATTCAAGCTTGATTCATAAGAATCGACTTAAAAATTCTCTAGCGGCAGAAATAAAATTATCATGACATAATAAAAATTGGATGAATTAAAATTATGTCTGACATAAAAATAATTCCGCATTTTTATTATGTGTATACACATAATTTTAATTCATACAATTTTTATTATGTGTACACATAATTTGTTTTCGAATAAACGTAAAACGTATTTGTTATAATATCCATTATTGAAAATCGATATGCGCGACAAAAGCTCTTGTATATCATTAATTATGTTATTATTTATTATATATATTTCTATTCATATATTTTCAATATTATTGTTACATTAGAAAAATTATTGGCATTTAGGATACGAATCTTTTTCCGTTCGTTTCTAAGTTTCATGATTAAAAAGATCATGTCGTATTATTAACGTATACCAAAGATTTATAGAATCGTTATTAATTTTATTATATATCTCAATTGCGCGAATCTCAAATATGTTTTGTAAAAATTATGCATAATATTCCTATTATAGGATACTTGTTTAATTATTTCGTCCTATTGCATTAAGTATAGAAAAATATACAATTTCTATGTGTTTGCACTTTATATTTAATGAGCAGGCAATTAAATATATATGATTCAATTTGCGTCCATGTCTCTTTATTGACTGACATAGAGTTTTATACTTTTAAATCTTTTTCTTTTCTAAAATTCAATCAATTGAATAGCAAAAACTACGTTATCATAGTCTGAGAGCTGAGGGACCAAAACTGCAACAGTTTTAGAAAGGCTGATATTTTAACATTAGGTCATGTATCGGTTGTCAATGTATCAATAGCCGGCCGTCAGTCAGCCAGTTTCGGTAACAGCTGGCGCGGGGGCGGCTCCAAACTTGTGAAAAAAACATGTATGTCGCAACTGTTTTATAAAATCTGAAAATTAGTTTGTAGATAGTAAATCAACAAACAAACAGTGTGGGTGTGGTCAGTCAGCAAAATATTGCAACGGTACGCGTCAGCAACGCGCTAAAGTCATCAAAAAATTGTAGTTGGTGAAGGTGTTTTATAAAATCTAAAATTTTGCATACAATTAGTTAATATTATTTAAAACAGGAAAAACATAGTCGGTCAGAATTTTTATGTAACAAACGCCGTCAGCAGCCAATAGAAGGGCACGCCGCGCGCTTGATTTATATAGCGCGCTCGATGGCACGGGCTGATTATATTTAATAATAAAATAAATGGTTATATTTAATAATAAAATTAAAATAATTTTTCTAATTAGAATCACTGCTACAATCATATACTTTATCAGACTCATCGTAATTTTCTTCGATATCAGTTACCTCGGACTCTGCATCTGCAAATTAGTAAACGTATAATACATTTGATTAGTTTATTAATAAAAAGAAGGCTGACAAATTTGCTTGCAATTATTTATTACCTGATTCATCATTTTCTTCTGATTCCTGCCAACCATTTTCGACTGCTAACTTTGTGGTTGGTATCTTTTGGTGTGCGTGGGTCCAAATATCAGATATACATATGCACTGCGATAAACTTGTTTGATGACCTCAGCTCTGCATGGCAAAAGATTTGACGCATCGTAATTCTTTGCATTAATTTTAAAAGTGTCGTTGTTGATTTTAAATGTGTAGCTTTTTAAAAATATTGCAAGACGAGCTTTATTTAAATTCTTAATTTTTTTGTGACCATACAATCGACAGACAAATTCCTCCATTTTTTTCATTACGCCTGTACGATTATCGTCATTTAATGCGCTGAAATTCGCAAATGCTTTTTGAAAATCCTCCGACTGCACCAACAAATTATATGGACGCTTTTTTCCTTTTCGGAAAAAGGCGGGGTTCTGGTCGCAGTCAGTGAAGGCATGTTAAAGCCGGAAGAGCAGCGCAAATCGATTGTCCTAAGCGTTTATGTATCTCAGTGACGTTGACGTATCGTAAAGAGTTGCCAACGCCAACTTTTATCCAGATCGTCACATCGCTTTTTAAATTACTCATATTACCCAGCATAATTATGAGTATATCGGTATCAGAGCACTTGATGGAGACGTTAGCATCATAATTAAGATTACAAATCTGTTGGATAATTTTTGTATCGGCTTCTTCATGTGAGGGGCATGAAAAAACATCTTCAATGCTCTTGATGACTAGTCCGTTTTCAACGTTGTATTTATAGCAGTAGTCGAAATTCAGATACACCGTTTTATTACAAAAATAGGGAGCCAACTCTGCCCTTTCCCAATCCTGTATTAGAAATCAAACTAGAGCTTCCTTGAACTTTATATTTCCAAGTTCTTTTGTGAAATCCGCAGGACGTTTCTGTTCTTCTCCGGTGATATGATAGTCACGCTTCTCACTTGTGTCTCGAAGAGCGTGCTCGTCATCTTTAATAGAGGGTGACTGGTATTTATAAAAAACGATAGAAACATGTCTACCATGTTGCCTTACCACGGCTTGTAAAATTTGTCTGGAAATGTTACCAAATGTTAATGGTATATCTTTAAATAAATTAAGGAAAAAAAATCCATCGATCACAGTAAGATCGATACAAGAAAAAAGTTTGTTATCAGCGTCGATCACTTCATTTTCTAAGCACTTGTCGGTCTTGCACATAGTGCCGCCCAAATGGCATAGGGACAAGGGCACGGGCGTTAGCGGAGAAGACAATATCTTCTCAAAATCTATTTTTTGATCCAAAGAACAGCAAGCAGCCGTTAATGGAATGAGCAAAAGACTGAGAGCTAGAATCAAAGAGCTGTATAAAGAAACAAAAAGCATGATTAGATGTAATGGAGAAAAAGGACCGTGCTTTTGGACAGTAGTAAGGCAGGGATGCCCTCTGAGTGCGCTACTATTTATATTGCTGCTGGCGGACTTGGAGAAGGTAATGAAAAAAGGGCAGGAGGGAGGGGTAGTTATAGGAGATACAAAAATATAGACGCTTGCATACGCGGATAACATGGTGGCAATTGCAGAGAGAGAAGAAGAAATGAAACAAATGATAAGGAGGTTAGAAAAATACTTTGACAAAAGGAAACTAACAGTGAATGTTGGGAAAACAAAAGTCATGAGATTTAGAAAAGGAGGAGGTAGAGCCAAAGAAGTTGAATGGAAGTGGAAAGGCGAACAAATAGAAGAGGTAAAAGAATTTTGCTACCTAGGATACATATTTCAAAGAAACGGAGGACAAGAATCACACATAAAAGAGAGAGTAAGAAAAGCCACAGTTGCAATGAGGCAAGTATGGGGTATAGGAAAAAGAATTTTTGGAGGAGACTGGAAAAGAAGAATGAAACTCTTTGACTCGCTGGTGGCAAGTATGGCGATGTATGGAGCAAAAATATGGGGATGGAAGGAAAGAAAGAATATAGAGAGGATACAAGAGAGGTTCATAAGATGGACGTTGGCATTAGACTGGTGCACGCCGGGTTATATGATGAGAGAAGAGAGTAA